CGGCAGTGCATAATATCCATCGTGAACCATAGCACCACCGAAATCGTCGAAACGTCGGAGGTGGGAGTTTAATCTGAGTTTGGTATACGTGGGATCACGAAGCAGACCATTTTCATTCCTCGAAAATTTGTAATCTTTGTTGCTTTTTTACTTTCCTCAGAAATTAACTGCGAACTTAGAGTAGATGAGTATATAGGCACAGACCAAAAGTTGATGTATGAATATTTGGGCCGAGGTCCATCAGCCACGGCGAGATAACTGCGGAATATAAATTAGCTGTCGATAGGCAGCCAGTGGTATATTTCAGGGTAAGAGCATAATTTTATACTCAAAGGAAGGGCATAATTCGGTTTTTAAAAACTTTTCCAATTCCCGAATAATTCTGAACGTGACCTGCCGTTACACTTGCATTCAGCGTTTCCAAACTACAAGCCCTACAGTTACCACGTATGGAAAGCCATACATTTCTCTACGGCATCAAGAGGAGACTATATGGGATTCATAAAATTTGGCAGTATATTTGAGCCATATTGTTAACTTTACAAGTCACATTAGTAAATGCCGAGACATGACGTTTTATGAACGGCAATTTCACGGTATTAAAAAATCTTACAGTCAGAAACTTTTTTAAAACCGAATTATATACTTCCTTCGAGTGTACGATTAGAAGAAGACGTAATTTGCTACCGAATGGGCAAGAGCAGGGATATTTTTACGCATTTTGTTCATGAAATATAATTTAATTTTTAAGGGCATTGAAAATAAATGGGAAGAATGCATGCTACTTAAGCAGTCATTTTTTACAGAGTATAGTTTTTGCGTGCGTCCGAAAAGAATTTTGCTCGAAGGCGGCATCTTGAGGTAATTGAATTATTATAGAATTATGCTACAAGAGGATTAGTTTTACAACTGTACTTAATTAATCTTTTTGAAACGAAAGCACATTTTGGAATTTCGGTCGACATTTCATAAGTTAGCCTACCTACTGTACATTAAGTTTCGGTCTGCGCCTATAGACCGTAGAAGATACCGATCTACTCCAAGTTCGCAGTAAATTTCTGAGGAAATGGAAAAAAACAACAATTTCTAAGCTGGAGTATCTACCAGAAAGTACAAGGGGAAAGCTGGGGAACCATTGATGAGTCGAACCCCTCGCGGCTGTAGCATGCACCGGGAGAATATCGGCGAAACACGCTTGTATGGGCTTCTGGCTAGTACCTCTGCTGCTAGTATGGTATCCTCTTACCCAGAATATATTCATCTTTATTCGCCAAAGGGGTGTGCAAGGAAGGTCGTTTTCTCAAGCCCAGCTCTGTAGAAAACCCGAAGTCTCAAATAAATTCCCATCATTGACTTTGCACGAAGTGGCCTTCTTTTAAACTAGATTTTTTTGCGAGTTTTGGAAGATTTCAACCCTTGTACTGTCGTTTGAGGAGGTTCACGTTTACCTGTTAAGGCTGATCCTATGGCTTATGGGCATTCTTGAGGCTCTCCACTTGAGAGAGTCGGATTTTCGGACAAAGCTTTTGTACTGTTTTTACGGGCGTAGTCAGTCTGACACCAGATAATCAGTGCGGGGTCCCTTTAACCCGGATACCGAAAGTTTAGCGGTGCCGTCTAGAAGAGCACACAGGGTGTGAGGACGTAGAGGCACAGTACTTTCCTTTCTGTTTGTAGCGAAATCGGCAGGCTATCGCCTGTAGTACAGTTGCGAAACTACGCTTTAGTTCTTTTTTGGAATGCAGACTGACAAACATGCGCACGTATTTGGTGTTCCCTCATCGGACCAGTGCAAACGCAGAGCAGGGTTCTCTTCTATTTGGATTGAGTTAACGGCGAATGAAGGAAGATGAGGGACGACCATAATCCGACAAGTATAAAATCTCTCTTAAAACTTGCATCTAGACTACTGCAATTGGTTGTCATTTGACAGTTCAATTTTTGTGCAACTCCGATCGGCCGTGCGTCATATTTTTGCGAGTTCTTTTACTTTACTCTGGACACATATTGATTAATACCGAAGAAATCAATGCGCGACCTCGGAGCTAAGTTTTTTAGGTCCGGTCCGAAAGTTTTGGATTGGAGCTGAAATCCATCAGTTACTATGGAATAACTGCATAATATTCACGAGCTGCCAACATCTAGTCAGTAATATATACAGTTAGTGACCTAACTCATGAAATTTGTCGACATTTACGAATGATTGCCAATCACTCGCAAACTGACACGATATAATGAATCCAATGTCTATGTTATTTAAGTACAAGTTTAAAGAATTAAAGATATGAAAGAAATATTAAGGGGCGTGTTGTGTTGTTTAGAAATGCCGATTATTTTTTAGAAAAACACAATATCCCGAAAACGTCAACAATGGGTCTAATTTAGTAAACTTCGTTTTTAGATGCATAGAATGTATTCTCATACAAAAAACGTAATAAACATGAAATTAAAAATAAAATAACTTCTAACAAGAGTGTTTCAGTGAAGTTTACATTTGAAAGCCGTTTAATAATTAATGTGATTTCATATATGACGATTTTTCAACTGCCTACATTCTGAGTGCAGATTCCAACACAGTTTTCCGGGGATTTGTGTTATCCTTGAATAGTTTGAGTTAAATGAGATGGGGTTCTAGAAGTGAAACTGGATTTTGCTTGATTTTACCGATGGGGACCTCGTAGGAACAAAAGTTTTCATAAGGTGACATGCTGTGAGGTCGGTCGGTGCCTAATAAATTTAAACAGAACTGACAGGCGTGATCGTAAACATACCATTTTGTTTTTATAGAGAGAACTTCTCTTCCGTTAAATTAATTTACACTTTCCGTTCGTTTTGGATTACGTTGAGTTTCAGATGGGCCTCGAAATGTTGCTGAATACTTAATGCTTTTTAGTGTTTTCACCCGATTGTTCATAAAGACAGATTCTGAATTACTAGTCTGTCGAGAACTTTAAAATGAGATTATTCTTAAAGGAATTTATCGAAGTAGTGAGTGTTCGGGCACTCCTTTTCACGAAGATGGTCGTTTGGGTCACATGTGAAGACTCATTCAAACATCAAATTTCATTTTCGAGAAAAATGACTGTCCACAACTGAAGTCAGCAATGAATATGCCTTCGATCAAAAAGAAAACTTTCCTTAATAAGTTATCTCTTTAAGAAGTGCTTTATTACTGCCCTCCGTTGACGGATTGCTGTGTGCTGAATGATTACTCATACTGACAGCATAGGTACTAACTCATTTCGGCAGAATCAGATGCGACAACGATCAGGTTACACAGACCGATCCTGTGCAGAAGTTCATGTAGGCACAGCACTCTCCAGGACGAAAGGTTTATTAGCCGGTCAGCTGTTGGCTTCTCGTACCTGTCTAGGACTCGAGAAACGACATCCTCTACATACCCACGGTGGCTGATGCCTACTGGATGCGCGAGGCCGGAACTTTTCATAGAGGTTGTCGCCCATTTCGCAAACCCCACATGCCGTTCTCATCCGTTCCAGATTTTAAACAACCCTTCCGTTCAGAATCCTAGTCCTCATTGCTCATTCCAGTACACTCTTGTGGGTTATCCCAGCGTCATCAAACCTCATTTGTGTGACTGTCTCCCAGTTAAAGACATTGCTTACCATACTTGAACTAGTGGTCTACATGCTGTCTATCAATTCAGAATTCTTACCGCTGAGAGGTGTACGACGCTCAAGGTCGAATTTGACGGCAGTGCAATTGAGCATCACCCGATTCACCGAGAGTCCATGGGCCCCCCACTACATATGGCAGCCAAAGCGCCAAAGAATGTCTGCCGACTTTATGATAACAGTAGGTCCGAAATATCGCTACGCCAGCTTTTTGCCAATCCGTCATCTCCAGGACTTTGTCGGTGCTCTGTCCAACAGGACTATTTTTCCTCGGACTGCTTTGTTCCGGGTTCTCCATCTTCAGCGACAGTGCACCCAAGACCCCCATTACTACACCCCTCTGTTTGTTTTGATTTCTTCGGATGAATTTCGTAAACTTTTCGAGGGTATATTGATCGCTTTGTATGCGGTCTTCCATTAGCATATGTTTAAGTAAGCGGCATTTTCATAGCCAGTTAAAACACAGAGAAACACAAACAACACATCACTTCGCTTTCCGATAGATTCCAACATTCTGCCTTGAGAATAAGTCAAGTTAAGTGTGTTCGAGGTCATCAGATGAGTCCCCAGAACGTCCGTCTTATTCCATCCAAGTTTTTAGCCTTTTGGAATTTTCTGACAGCTACCTTCTGTTGTCAACCCTAACACCTTTTGAACCTGAGAAATTATTCATCATCGATCCTTCTTGAACAGTTCTCCTCCTGATCCACCCTCTCTCAGATTTCAGGAGCGCCCTTGAGTTTGTGCTCGAAGTCTTCACAATTCCTGAAGATGTCAAATCCCGCCTGCATGATACCACACACCTGAATAATTCCATGATAGACTCCCGCCATTCTCATGGTCGACGTCTTCATTGTTGCTATTTTTTTCAGCTGCCCTCACAAAGAAGTCCCCCACAATTAACTTCCAGTGCAGCTACGTGTCAATTGTCTTGTTATGAAGCATTTCCAGTACCTTCCGGATGACCAGAAGGTGGATAGTTCACAATCTTCATTAACTACAAGTTCTTGCCCTTCCCTTTATGGAATCCGTTAGGGGAAAACAGGAATTTGTCATTTGAACTATGCGGTCCACTCCCCTTTCGGTATCCGTCACGTCGACAGAGCTCCGAATGGGATGGCTGTGATTTAGTACGGACCCTCAGTTCTGCTGTTTCATGTTAATGTACCCGATCGCAACCGACAGGACAACGAGCCCGTAGCTCAGTGGTAGAAGCATTGGATTTCTAACCAAGAGGTTGTGAGTTCAAGCCTCGGGGGTTGCACACCTCGAGGTTGGGTATGGGTGACTGATGACGGCTGACAAGTCAGCGATGGTCATTCCAATCTTCCTTGTTTTTGTCGGTAATGTTATTCTGCCTATATTATGCGCTACCGTGTGGCTGTTGGCGGGATTCGAGAGGGAACCCCAAGACACAACGCGACGAAAGAATTCTTCAATGCGATCGGAGCGCCCCCCTCCACCATTGCTTCACGTCTATTCGGTGTCAAATTTACCACAACTACTGCAGAACAGCGCCTAGTTGAAACCTTTGGTGATGAGGATGGCGCCGATCTCCAAACTCAACATGTCCGGCCTACTCCCTGGAGCTGTTACCATCCGGTATGATGTTTCTACTCCACTTCATCGGCCTTCATGCCTCTAGCACTCCATCGGTCTGTCTTCAGTTTCCAGCAAAATTTTCCCCACACCGGATAGCCAGCAGTGGGCCAGCTGATGACTGACCAGATCTTACGACACAGAACATGTAAAGACCTGAGGCTTCGTGAAGGGATGGCATTCTTACAAGGGCCGTTCCTGTCTGCTAACCTGTTCAGTCGATGGTCGGAATCCACCCTCGCCTCTGGCCGGATGTAGGGACGGTAATTGTTGTCAAGACTCTTCTTGACCATGGAGCTGCCATCTTCGACGTTCTTCCTGCCATTGCAACTGACCGTGGGGCTCAGTTTGGACCCACTTCTTATGGTCCTTCCTCCTCCTCCTCCTCCTCCTCCTCCTCCACCATTTTCTAGGTGTTACCCGTATCTTGACTGCTGCTTCATCTTCATCGGCCATTGGAGTTGTCGAGCGGTTCCATCGCTGCAGAGGATCTGGAGAAGTACAGTAAACATC